TTGTAAACTCAAAGTACAATTAACAATTTCATAAACTCTTCAAATTTCAGTTCAAGAAAAATTGATCTAAAAGACATGTTAAATACATTTATCGTTATTACTTATGATAAGTCTCTAGATCTCAGGAAAATGCTGAAATAAAAGAAAAAGAAATAATTATCTTGATGTAAAAAATCTACTCAAGTTACCAAACTGCAATGAAATCTTATGATTTTTTCTCTGATCTGAGGAGTCAACTATGCTTAAACACTCAAATCTATTTGAAATAAATTCACAAGTAATCAATAAATATCAGTAGTATCCGTTCAAGACATTCAGGTTTTAACTTGGCCAAAAAATGTCAAAACACTTACCACTGAGTTCAATACACAGGTCGTTCCATGTTTCGCTTGTTCAGCACTCTCGGTGTTCAAAGCAAAAGATATGAAGTTCCACTGATCCGACAAGCTTGATGTATACAATTCCAAAAACCTCTGACTTTACTTTACAAATCTTCCTCCTTTGGTGACGAGTTCTTGTGTACATCTCAAGATATCACCACATTTATGTCTCCGAGCAATGAAAATTTCCGCCATTTTGTTTCGGACTAACTGTCTTCTTTCCCATAAAATTTAACAGTAGAGTATAAAATCCATATATTTTTTTCCAAAATACAATACTCAGAGACTTCCTCTACATTATTTCTTAAGTTCGAAGTTCACTTTCTCCAAAAACATGCATATTTTGTAGATCAAACACTTTGAAGCCATTCTCCACATGAGGACTTCTTCACGAAATCGCGCGTGACGTCATATTAGGACATAGGTCTGTACAGCGATTGGCCCTAGAGACGACCTCCCCCCCTGGCCTGTGTAAACAAACGGAAAAAAAAGTTTGTTTGTGGTCTGCAAGGTGAAACGCCACACGAGATTTCTCACTCAAGTGTCCTTCATAAGTTTTGCTATCGTTATAGTTTTTATCTTTGTTTTCTTTCTTTTTCCTCTTTTTCCCAAAACAATATTCGACAATGAGTACATGTAAAACTGGT